TCTGACTGCTGGAATGTTTTAACATCAATCATTTCATTCATTAAGTATTTCAGAAGAATTTTCTTTATTTTTACATTAGCACAAGGCCATTTTCACCCCTAACAAGATTAACAATACCCCCTCAATATTGTCTAATAGTATATATTCATATTTCTCTCATCGTCACAAAAATATCTTTTTTATAGGTTGGTTTATTTTAATCAGTGTCCAAATAAGAGCCACATTTTTCACTTAGTATTATGTCTCCCTCTTTTTTTTTTGCTGGTGGTATCCAGGAATGAAATATCCCCATCCTTTTTATTTTGAGACAGGGTCGCTCTGAACTGCCCAGGTAGGACTGGAACTTGCAGTTATCCTGCCTCAGCCTCCCTCAGTGCTGGCATTAACGGCATGTTCCACCATACCCACATTTAAATCTCTTCTAATCGAGGATAACCTTCCTCCTGATACTTTGTTTTTGCTGTCCCCTTTCCAATGCCTTTGTTGAAGAAACAAAATTATTCATCTTGTAGAATTTCCTACATTCTCAATTTGGCTAATTGTTTCCTTGTGGTAGTATTTTAACATCTTCCTCGCCCCTTCCTATTTCCTTTGAATTGGAAGTTAGATCTGGAGGCTTAATCAGATTTCAGTTCAATTTTTTTTAGCTTCCTATTACATTAAGAGGCATGTAATTTCTGACTGACCCACTTTTAGTGCTCCAAGATTGTTCAGAGAATGTTTTGATCTTAAATTAATGGTTTCACCCTCTGCAGATGACCCTCGCCTCCAGTCATTATTTCATTAGGAGCTAGCTACTGATGATTTTCAAATTCTGTTATTCCTCCTGCATATGTTAGCTAGGATTCTGTTATAAAATTTTTAATCAACTTTTGATTACTCCATAATAGGATTCATATAGAACAGGCAAGATAAGTGCCTTAATTCTATTTCAATTTTCAGGATGAAGTGGTTGTCCTATTAAGCTTTAATGTGATGATTTTTTAATCATCACAATTTCATATAAGGAGTGAAAATACATATGTGGTATGTGTACCATGTTTCAATTCATTATTATCATTCATTATGATGTTCAAATTGTTCCATCTTTGGCCAGTGAGAGCCCCTTCAAGTTGCTCTTCTAAACTTTGGACATGTCTTTCTCAGCTTCTCGGAGCTTTCTTGATTTCTAATACAAGAAGTCTTGACTCCCTCCTGCATATTTCCCACACAGCCTGGGAATAAATGATTTCTACAAAAACCAGTGTTCCTCTTGGAAGGAAACAGTATTTAGAAGCCATAATCTAGACACTAAGGACATTCACTGCTACTGAGTTTCATTACTCCTAAGTCTTTACACTGCCAAGAACTAGGAAATGATGTTTATGGAAATTCCCACACAATTTTAAGATTAAGTACTGCTACTTATTTTCTTTAATTCCCAAATCTCTTTTCTCTTACATTAAAACTTCTGGTTTCTAATGACATGACGACTGTTAAAGTCTATCCTATTAGAGACACATAAGAGTTTCAAAGTAATAACACTGATTTTTTTGAATCCAGTTTATAATTTATTTCTAATTCTTTTGTTTACCAATCACAATAGTGTGCTTTTAAAGTCACTTGAAATACATTATTTTCAAAATCTAGTTTGACAAACCACTAGATTAATTTGTTTTCAATTTTTAGCATTGCCTTTTCTAATTTAAATTGTGATTTCTAACTATGTAAAATATTTCAATAGTCCTAAGTCAAAACTGGAACAGAAGTTATATTTTGAAAAATTTTACTTCCATCTTTGTCCTCACTGCCCTTTCTTCCCTTCTCTCTATAAAGGTAACCATGTTTTTACATTATCTTTCCATTGCTACTTTTTCAAATATATATGATATAGCATATGTATTTGTAATAAATAATAATGTGCAATATATGTTCTTATAGTCCTGTCTGATAAAAATGTAAATTCTACATATATTTAAATATTTCTGTCAATAAATCCACTTCATATGAGCCTGCAGAAAAACTAAAAATAATTTATAGTTCCATATGATTTAAAATTATCAAGTAAGATGCACAATTCTCCTATATATGTTTCCTAATAGATTCTAAACCTAGAGAGACGGGGTTCTAATTTCTCTCTGTGGATATGTACCTTGCTTTGGAGATAGGCATAGTGCTGACACTAAGTACATGAGAGATGACAGACGTAGTACAATAATCATGCATGAAAGACTTTTTCTATTTACTCTATTACAGTTTCCATCTATCTAAAATTATCATTTTCTCTTCTTTATAATTAGGAATTTCTCTAAAAGTTAGGAAGCTCTGACATTAGATAAATACACTATGAATAATGATTTTGGAAGGGAAAGCAAATCATCTTCTTTTTTAAAGATTTTTTGGGCCAGGGATTTAGCTCAGTGGTTCCACCGCCTGCTGTGCAAGCGCAAGGACCTGAGTTCGATCCCCAGTACCAAAAAAAAAAAA